ACACAACTACAAGAACACAATATAAACAATGAAATTGTTTTATTATTAATTTACTTTACGCGTCAATGAGTCAAATACACTTCGCACTCCACACGCACATAAAAAATTAACAGTTAATTTTGTGGTCTTCTATGGCAAAATGCGCTCATCAAAGTACTCGGACTCTACCCACATACAGCAGAGAAGAGTAAATTAAGTATCGCCAACCCTCCACGCCGCAACATTTATCAGCTGTGCGTAGACAATTTGTCTTCTTTACAAGTGTTTGGTATTCTAGCTGCTTGACTTTCCGCATATGCTGATTATATCTATATGTGAGCTAGCCCTCTAGAGAAATTTGAACTTAAGTGGTATTTCCTTTCAGAGCTAAAGTCGGCGCTGACATATTTTCAATGAATATGAAATCGAAGAGTGAATTTTTTCACCAAACATTTCCATACTCACCATGTTTATAAAAATAGTTAGTAAAAAGTTTGCTTTTAGCATATTGCTTATTGCTTTAAAAAGAAAAAAATCTAAATAATAATGTTTTTCTATACAGTTGTCTGGTTGAAGCGTTGAATAATTTCAACCGATGTGATAATGGCACGAAGAAAACGGCATCAACTTCCTACATGGTTATTACAAGGTAACGCTTTTAAAACGAATTATATGGAATAAATACGTTTGCTACGCCTATAATTTATCGAAAATATCTCGTTTTACATTAGTACACATATTACGGTAAATTGACTGTGTAACCCAACACGCGTAACCGTTAAGATGATTGATTATTTTAAATTGTGTTTGTTCTATTTTTATTTCATTAGTTTTAGTTGACTTGTTTACTGGTTAAAGCAGTCCGAAATTAATTATTCCATCGAGCTTTGGTTACCAAAAAAATCGTGTTTTTGTTGTGTAATTAAGCAAAATAGTTCAATTATTTCTTGACATATATGTATGTATGTATGTATACATATTTCGCATGGCATATGTGCGGCTGCTCTTCAGCAGCAATTAAAAACAACTTTTATATCTCTCAAATAAATTTGCTTGGCATATCATGCCTTCAGAATGCCCGAGGCCCTTAACTTCCTAGACAGTCCATTAAATTGGAAAATTACCTGCACAATAATCCCGTAATCTCTGACTTTGCCGCCGCTGCTTTTTCGCCGAGCAAGCGTTTGAAGTTGAACAGCCGTCAGGCAGTAATTTCAACAATGTCTTATTTGCGTATAAATTTTCATTTGGCTGCACAGCAGGGCGTACAAGTAATATCTACATTTTCTGCCTTTTCTTACTTTTTCATGCCTTGCTCAAGCCTGCGTGCGAAGAATTGTGTGTGCTAAAGCTAAGCGCTTTTAATTGCTTCACATATTTTGATATTGCAATGTGTGTTAGTTTCGCTTAGAATTTGCATTTGATATTTCAATGAAGTGCGCGAATTTTTCCCTTTTGTTGGCCATCTAGATTAATATTTATGAAGATATTAACTAACAAATTTAGTGTGCATTTTTTGCAAACAATTTGCCAATATTGCCTTGGAATTTTTATTAAGAGTGTCTCAAATATTAAAAAAAAAAATACAATGCTTATAAAGTTGACTTTCTTGCTTCGTTGTTATTGTTGAAGTATTAATTTATTTCAGCTAATAGCGGAAACAAAGACTTTATTCAATCAATTGTTACAAACTAAAATGTTTGCGTGCGCAAGTTTGTTGCTTAAGTCTTTTGATGGCCTTTCATTAGTACAACGTTTGTGCACGCGACAAAAGCTTAGTTTTGGAAATTCGTTTATAAAGACTGTCGGCACTCAAAAAAGCATTGAAAAGTCTTCTTTCTAATGGTAAATATCGTTTGTAAATAATAAATTTGAATATAATTACCAAAACTCTTTATGGAATTCGAACAAAATATACGCAATTAAAAAAAAAGTAGAAGCAAAAGATTTCTTATATTATTAGTTACAGGCAGGCTTGCGAATTTTTCAATTAAAAAATTTGGGATTCAAAATTAAATTTTCATTTTTTCTTTTATTTTTTAATACCGATGTTGGAATTAAAAATAATATTTTCATTTTTTAATCCCGATGTTGGGGATTGAGATATAAATTTAGTTTTTTTTTCAAGCCGGCAGTTGCGATTAAAAATTAAAAATAAAAATTTAGAATAAAATTTTAAAAACTAAAAATAAAAATTAAAAAGAAATTTTTAAACCGGTTTTTGGAATAACATTTTTATTTTTTATTTTTAATCCGGTTTTGGGCTTAAAATTTTTATTTTTATTATTTAATCTGGTGGGATCAAACTTTTTTATGTTTTAATCCGGTATTTGGGATTACTTGTGTTTGTGAATACAAAAGAAAATAAAAATTTAATTTTTCTTTTTTAAATTTCAATCTGGTAGTTGTGACTAAAAATTAATACATTTTTAATTTAATTTTATTCTTAACTTTTAATCCGGCTTTTGGAATAACATTTTTTTTTTTTTCAATCCGGGTTTTGAGATTAATTTTTTTTTTTTTAATTTTCAATCCGGTTTGTGGGATTAAAATTTTTCTTTCATCCCGTATTTGTGATAACCCGTATTCATCATTTGCGTTAAAAAAACAAAAAAAAAATTATTCAAATGTTAATTCAATTACTTTTTTAATGCATTATTTGCAACCGTAATTACAGGTGATGACGATAACATTATAAGAAGTTTAAACTTAATATCTTTGACGCTTAGTAAAGCAAAAATATTGTTAAAGCTTCAATAGGATTTAGTTTTGGTTTCTAAATATTAATTTTTACAGTTTATTGGAGTCTCTAAAATTTTCAAATATTACTATATATAATATTAATAAATTGCATGTCTCCACCCGCACTGCAATGCAACTTTTTCTTTTAACATACGAACTTTTTCCCCTTTTCCCTTATTTGGTAAAAATTCTTTTGTCCTTTGTTATGTCTACACATGTGCTATTCGGTGTTGTTATTTGCATTTTAATTATTCGCAAGAGATTTCGATCAGTTTTCACATGAATTGATGAGTGAGTGTTTCGATTCACAAACATGCAGTGCCGCTAAGCGACTCCGCCAGTCGCCACCCGCGCACGTGCTACGAGGGCCAGCGCTGTTCTGCAGAGTACATTCAACTTACTAACTGTCTGCTTCACTCATACATAAATACTGACATACTTACATACACATACATGCATAGTAAATAGCTTCGCTTAGTGTTTTATAGGTTTTGATTCTGTTATGTCAGCTAATCATAATCAAATGGCTTACATACTTGTAACCTATTCGCTAACATTGCTACCGCCGTAATGTATTTATATAATGCCTTCGGAATGCCTCATCTAATTCGCTCAACACCGAAAATGATAGAATTTGCACTGACATGAGGCGGCATTGTCATTGCCATTGCCGTCGGCGCGCCTGGCGATTATCATAATCACGAGCGTCATTATCGTCACCTCCGCGGCGAGCACCGTTCGCACTCAACGCACATAAACCACAACATTTACCACCTGGCGTGGGACATTGCCATTGCTACCGTCAACGTCAACGCCGGAGCTGACACGTAGCGGCGAGCGAACGGTCGACCGACCGACCGACTGCCACCTGCTTTGGCGGCAAAACTTATGCGTGAGACTTGCGTGTTTCAACGTTTGGTGCTTCTTTCCTTCGCTTGGCCACATGCTAAGCGTCAGGCTAGTGTATATTCTTGTTGTTTGTATTATGCTATTCGAGCGCTTACTTGCTTCATTTAAATTTTTGGAAAATTTATGTTTGCTTCCCCATATTAACAAACCTACATACATGTGTGTATGCGTGTGTGTATGTGCTGCATCTGTTATGAATCAGTTATATGCTAACGTATGTCCCTATAATTAAAGTACACACTGTGCCGTTGTTTTTGCACTGCTTTGTCGTTGTTGTTTTTGTTGATGTTATTATTTGTACTCTGGTTGAATCGACTACAAGTACGCGCTCGCGCATTGCTGCGCTGTGTGGCGAGCGCTTGTTCTAGTTTGCCAGAGTCGTCCGCGTCGCCAATTTTCGCCAATTCATGCTTTGCCCGGCTTTTAACAGTTATTAATTGCTTGTAGCCAATAAATTGTGTACATGCAAATTCCGCAATGTCTTTGCGCTCCTCCGCCTTCGCGCTTTCCGACGAACAACTACAGGTAACATTTGCGATTCGTTTAATGCTCGGTGTTCTGGCAATTTACGGTTGGTGACGATCTTTATTTGGTCGCCGCTGTGCCGAATTGCGTGTTTTTCATACCCAAACGGCAAACATTATGGGGTCATTAAATTTTGATTCATTATGGAATCTAAAAACATAAGATTTGTTTCTATTTGACGCGGAAACGCAAGTAAGACACAGCGCTTTCCGTAGCGAGATGATTTATGGCGGCCATAGAGAGACTCTAATAAATTGAACTGTTGTGTAGTTCTAGGAAGGTGCTGAGAAGACTTGAAAGCGCTGCTCGTGAACAAGTTACGTGATCGGCAAAAGCATGTAAGGCAGGGAAAAAAACCAGTACTGACAAAAAGACTCTTGTTTCTTAGAAGGGTTTAAGGCTCTAAGAAATTAATCTAGTGCAATGTGGAAGATACACAAATGTGCGTAAACTCCAATGCCAAGGACGTGTAGCCTTTATACCTTTAACTAACTGCTGCCATAATCCTCTATATTTTGGAAATGCAGTTTCTGTAGGCGCAGAAGCTCTTCGTTAAAAAACAAACTGTTCCATTGACTTATATAATATATGGCCCAGAAGTGTAATTTGAAATTTTATCGAAATCGGTTCATGAGATATAAAGCATTTAGGACACCCAATGCACAATTCCTGAAGCTCTAATAACAGAAGAATGTTAAGCGGTAACTGAATCCCACTAATATATTATATATTATACATAATTAGTACTTTTATTACAATAATTACAATATAAACTCTGAGTAAACATTACAGCTTCAATTAGGAATTATTAGCTACGAATTATTTGCCTGCATCTGCTAATTGAATTTCAAACGCAACTACAGCAACTCAAACCTTGTGAAACTTGGTTCGAATCAACCATCCGCAACACCATACAAGTTGCAACATAATTGGCCAAACACCAAGTTTCAGCGACAAGACACCAAAGTTGCTGGCCGCAGTGCAGAAGTCCAATCGCGCACAACACGAAGACAGTCTGCAGCAGTCGAGCGAAGTGAATAAACGTGTTAAGCGGATTGCGCACAATCGTTGGCGGTTTAAGCGCAAGCAAATTGTACGGGCTGTGGCAACACAAGTAACGAGTAAAGTTAAAACAAGATATACGGGGTGAACGATTTACGAAAAATAAACAAGCGTTAACATAAAAAAAAAATTACTATAATTGAGTTGCCAGTCGAATTTTTTGTGCAAAATTAAAAGTAGTGTAGTTCAATTGGCTTGTGTCGCTTTGTATGTTTGCAACCGATGCAACGACAGACTGTGTGCGCGCGCAGCAGCAGTTGGGCATGCTCCGTCGAGTGGGACGGTCGTTAGTCGGCTGCCAGAACGAGAACTTAAGTAAAAGTCGAACGCCTAGCGCGTGTGTGAATGTGCCAAACGAAAATGTGTGCGAAACAGCGCGGCATGCCATAAAGAAGAAAGTGACTAGCCGCCAGACGGTTGAAACGACAAAGCTTAAGATGAGGCCTGCAATAAATGTAGTGCCGCGTCGCGGTTCATGGCAGCGCTCCATATGGCCCATGACCTTGCTATGCTGGTGTTTTATAATAGTTAATTCGCCAGCAAAAGGGCTGAACTACGACGCTGACACGACCGCTGAGTTGAACACACAAGCCGGGGCTCGAGCGATGGGTCTTTATGGAACTCGCGAACCGCGTTTCGGTGATCGTTTACTACCATTGCGCAAAAAGACCGGTGCAATAGTAAATGTGGCGGCGTCCAGCCAAAGGCAAGCGAATAGTGTTTTGAGTAAAAGTAATTATGTGGTTAGTTACGCGAGTGTTAATACAAATAACGCGACCTCAAGTGGGAAAGTTATGGCACGTGCCACAAATACAAACACGACTGCTGACGTGAATGCATCGCCTAATAATAGTGTCGATGTGACAAGCGATGTGAGTGATAGTGTTGAACCCAAAACTGATTTGTATACAATGGAAGTCCATCATGCTGATTATACAGATCCTCCAACGACCGTACAACGTCGTGGCAAACAGTTGAGTCGACGCGAAGATACCAATATCGGTGGACTTTTACTAGACTCGACTACCTTCAGTAGTAAGGACACGAATATTTCGAAAGCTGATCGCTTGGTAGTCATGTCCACCGAGTTCTTTGTAGTACCAACAAGCACACCACTACCAAAGCACGTGCACACTTCTGGAGCGCCAGTACGCACAGGCGCTAAGGCAGCAGTTCTGCCTGATTATATACAGCCACCCTACACGGGTGTACCGACTGCTGGACCACGTTCAGTTTTAATTGTAGCGCCGCGGCCAGTAAATACCTCAAATGCAGCGAATACAGTCAGCGCGGGTTTGCCTCCATCCATAATGCCCACACATCTGCCATTCACAGGCCTGCGCAAGGAGCCTTGGGTGGTGCCCGTGTTGGTGTTGGCAGCTCTCACAATGCTAATGATGACAGCTTTTGAGATTTTCGTGCTGTTCAAGGCATGGCGTACGTCACCATCGCGGCGTCATCTCTTTCTTGGTCAGATGCTACTGTTAGGACTTTTCGCTTGTGCTGGGCTGGGTGCCGTATTAACAGCACAGCCCTCACTGCTCAGCTGTGGCACAATACGTTTCGGCGTGGGTGTTGCGTACGCGCTTGTTTTTGCCGCGCTACTCGTCAAGTGCGTTTTCCTCATTAGTCTGAATGGCGGCGTGTATCTGCCTGCACCCTACCAAGGTTTATTGTTGCTTTTCGCCGTGCTCATACAAGTAGCCATAGGCACACAGTGGCTACTCACACAACCTCCGGAGATTTACACCCAAAGTGTACCGATACTTGGCAATAGTCTGTTGGCTCCTACTATAGCGTCCAGTGGCGCCACATCTGCGGCACATACCTTTGCAGCGCTTTTTCAACCTCATATCGCCACACCCACCGACGGTCCATCCACAGCAGCGCTCGGCTCCAGTCTCGGCTCGGATCTATATGCGCGTATCACTGCTGCTGGTACGATGCTGATACCGCTATGCAAAACACAATTTTCGGAGCTGCTCTTCTCGCTCATCTACATTGTCTTCCTGATTGTGTTCGTCGCTGTGTTGGCCATCAAATCGCGCGGCATACGTGACAATTATCGCGAGGCCACCTACATTGGTTTGGCGATCGGTGGCGCTATACCCATTTGGTTGGGCTGGATGTTGTGCGGACTGGCGGTGGCGGATCGCCATAAGGATGCTTGTATCGCTTTTGGACTGATAGCGACATCAGCAACTGTCTTTCTAGTTATGTTCATGCCGAAAGGCAGACAGCTGGCGGCCATGGGCAAGGAGGGCCTATACGTGGAAGATCGTGAGGAGCAGTTCAGCTCTCTGAGTCGTGCTGGCTCCGGTTACTCACCCTCATTCTTCCACTTTAAGCCGATCAAGTACGGAGTAATGGGCGGAGGTATGCAGAATTCGGCAACAAATACGGGGAACGGCGCCAGTATGAAGCACTGCTCAAATGGTCTAGGAGGAGGCGGAGGAGGTGAGTGAAATGTTTCATAGCATAATTTCAGTTTGAGTGTAGTTATGAGTTTTGAATGAGATTCATCACAGCAGTCCATGCGTTTTGGTAATACAAAAATTATTTTTTTAATAATGCAAAGGAGTTAGACTAAACTGGGTTTTGATGCTCATGAGATGCCGTTTTCGAAGCTATTGAGATATAGCGTAAGATTGTTACGGATATTGACCGTCCATTGAGTTTCGTCAACTCTGAGTTAGTTGTGTTTCCTCTACTAGTTTAGGGGAATGTTTTAAGTAAAACAGTGAGAGTTTTCTGATGCACGCTGCTTGATGTATAAAGAGGTTGCTTGAGCTAGAGAGAACTTCGGTAACCGCCTATTGGTCTTAGCCCCTTTTACCATAATTATTTTTATACCCTCAGCTTGCTGGACATAAGTATAGTGAAGTGAAAAATGAAAGTGTGAGTAGATTTTTACTTTCCAACAGTCTAAATCGCATTAGCGTTAAATGATTTTACTATACAATGCTTTCTCGCAAATAGCACGTACTCAGCGCAAAGAAGCAAGCTGCCGAGTAATGCCTAAACCACGTAAAACTGTAAATGCAAAGCATAACAAAACTCTAAATATAATCAAGCAATAATAACAACAAACAAAACGAAAACGTTTGTAAATTGCATGAAGTATTTGCTTTGCTTCCCCATTGGCCTAACTGCAGCTTTACTTAATTCCGCTGATGCTTGCATTATTCAAATTCGCAGCGCACATGGAAAACATGTCACTCACATGTTGCGTCTATGTCACAGTGTAGCGTCAGGCGCCTCGTCAAACGAAAGATTTTGCTGTCGGAAAGACGAAAAGTTAGTAGGCAACAATAGCAACAAATGAGTTTGTATGTAGGCGCAGGCAAGCGTTTTATGAACATATGTCTTAACTACATACTGCTGATGTTGTCTTGACTGCCGCGTTGCCAGCGCAACCAAGCATGGCCGGCAGTTGGCATGCCGAGCGGTAAATGCCTGCGCATACGTGTGTGTACACACTGAAGTGTGTAATTTGAATGCGTGCGTGCGTGCGTTGCCTGAAAATGTGCGCTTTTCCGCATTTAAAAGAGTTTTCCCACTACACACACGCCCATGCATGCTCCAACGAGACTCACTGGCTTTGACAAACATCGAAAAGACGCCTGCCCTCCCCTGTCCGATACCTACATGTGTATATATATTTGTGTCTATGATTTGAGTGCATACAAAGCGCGTAATTTCAATTCCAAACACGCGGCGTACACAAATACTACAAGGCACTTGCGCATGCGCGGCAACCTTTAATTATAATAAATGAAAGTACAATATATGCGAGTACATGTGACCACAAATGAAAACTATTTATTTTTTTCTAAGAGTATTACTAGTACTAGCATTTTGTATGCGCAAACATGACAGCTGTCATGTTGTTGATAGTTTTGTAGTTTTTGTTTTTTTTTGTTTTGGCTTTTTTCACATCTGACTAAGCTTACACTCTTTCGTGCGCTTTTAAGTTTCTAATAAATATAAATTTGAAATTCTGTTTATTTTATCGACGTTCTACATTCATTTTGAGTTGTGTATAAGATAAACTACTTTGTTGCTATCTTTGTTTGTTTTCGCCAACTGCACGCCTAAGCTCGGTTAATGAGCTGAAGACATGCATGAATATCAGCAACGCAGCATTGCTTGTATTCGTATAGGAAAATGTGTTTAACATAAACTCAGCGCAGGAATTGTGCAAATAAATAAAAAGACAGCGCTTAAGCTTTGTGTTGCGCGCTTGTTTGCTGTCTCATTATCTGATTAAGTTTCTGCTCCAACAGTAATCGTTTCTGTTTTTCTTGAGGCGTTTATAAATAAGTTCATATATAAATCAAATATATTTCAAGGATACCAGTTTCAAATTTAAAACGAATATTATTTAATACAATTATAAAAAAAAAATATTTTTTCTAAATGTAAAATTGGTAAGAGCGAGTAAAGAAAGAGTCTACTTTTAGGCGGAATGTTTAAAAACCAAGAGAGAAGATAACTCTGGTATTATGAGCAATTTGTTTCAATATAAGGAGGTTCTGTTAGAGTATACAATACAAGGTTTGTTCAAAAAGTATTGCAAATTTTGTATTTTTTAAGAAAATGATTATTTTTTATGAATACTTATTTTGAAATTTAGCGCGCTACGTGTATTCGTGGCCTACGTGTATCGCATCTTCACCGATATATACTTACCTAATAGTGGAAATAATTGCATTATATCTAGTGGTGATTACTTTGAAGCGGGCAAAATAGATATTCATTAATAAATAAACACTATGTTAAGAAATAAAAAATTCGCGATACTTTCTGAACAAACCTCGTATATCAAAAACATATACGTGGCAATTCGAATGGCTCAAAAAAATTTGTTTTCCATAGTGCCGACTACCTAAAAGTATACTTACAGTGAGCGCTCTTAAAAGTGTAACTGAGAAATATTGTAGATGTGTGAGCGCTAACCTCTTCTCTTCAGCTCTAATGTCTTCTCTTTAACTCGATTTGAAACTGTGTACAAAATTGTTGTTCCAAAAAAAAAAAAAAATTTTGTTGCACATGATTTCAATTGAAACAAAATAACTGGCGCTAAGCAATTGCACAGATTTTGATTTATTGCCCAAGCCGCTTGAATTGACTTGCTGACCTTGAAGTGAAAATGTTGCAACAACTGCAAATAAAACGCTATTGTTATGAAGCGCTGGCATTTTTCTATGTCGAAATAACTTCGAATCAAAAGCCTTAAACAATTTAACGCGCTAATCTGGCAACAAATAACGGCAGCGTCGCTTCTTTGCTGTCAAATTAACAAATAATTGCTATTTTCTATTGCCTTCAGCTTCGGCGCACATAAAGTGAAACGCGCGCTGAGCTACTTACATGGCGTGGCGCCTGTGAAAGTGAAAACTGCATTGCTGCGCTCGCTTGGCGCCCAGAATTCGTGCAGTCGGCGTGTAGCATGATGATGGCCAATAGTTGAAATTGAAAACGTAAAGAGATACACGCCAAGCCGAAACTGCTTAGAAATCATTCGCATTCATTGACACACTTTTCACGCCTCAATAAGTAGGAATTTCGCAAATTGCACGCTTTGTCAGTAACAAATTAAAACCGAGCGTAGAAAAGGGTGTAAAGCGTTACTTCTTCGCTTCGTCAAGTTTATTGATTATGTTTTCGATTAGATACATACTCGTACGTTGTATGTGTTGCTTTGCTAACAATACCGTAACGCACGCAAACACAACAACAACAACACTGCTGGTTAAGACAGCTTTCTGCTTTGCACGCTAATTCCATGAAACTTTTCCATACACAATTCACTGCAAACAATGAACAATGCATAGCAAAAACAATTTAAGCGCACAGACAAAGGTTTTTTTTTTTTTGGTGCGCATGTGTGTGTTTGTGCGAGTTAATGATATTAAATTAGTTATTGTTGCGCTGGCGTCTTTATGTGCAAATCGTGCAAATGTTTTGTTTTCAAACAAAGAATGTGACAAGTCATTAGAGCTGAGAGCACTTTCGTTTGTTTCTACACAAAAAAGTGATGAGCAAGTATATTTTGTGTAACTTGGTGCAATTAGCTGTAACTTGGGGTTATTAATTGGGTTTTAAACCAGAAAGTTAATAACTGTTGAGTCGAAAATTACGCACTAGTTGTGCTGGTTGCGAAAGATAGTTGCATTACGATCATTTCAAATTCTACTTACAACAACAAATAACGAATTTAATGCGCTTACTGAATATTTAGCTGCTTAGATCAGCTTTGCTATAAGCTAATCGCAAATTTTATGCAGGAAATTCAAGTACTTACGCTAGCTCTGCTTATCGCCAATTTATAGATTCGTTAACTTAGCAATGCATAAATCGTTTTAAATCTGACCAAGACTTGGCAACTCAGCAGCAATAAACAATGTTTTTGTTTATAAGCAGAAAACTATTTTCTTTCCAGCAAGCCACACACATGCATATGTTGAAACTTTATTTAGAAAAGTTGCTACACGATATCATGTCAGCAAGGAACTATAGCTTAGAACTAGCTACTAACATAACTTTATCATTACAAGTATGCAATAATATCTTTAAAGGCTAAAGCAAATGCAGACTAAACGACTTCGCCTAAAGTTAGACGAAGCGCACCACAATTAAATAATTACAACATTTTATATATTTGATTATTTTGTGAAACGCTAAATTAACAACAATTATAGCCCAATTAACGAAAACATAACACACCTTGACCCCACAGTTTTGAAAATTGCGCATAAATTATTTCACTTTCATAAAAGCTAATTTCGGCGCTGAATTATTAAAATAATTTAAAATTTCGACAAACCATCGAAGCAACTAATAGCAAGCAATTTGTTTTATGCATCATTTAAGTTTGTGTAAATAATAAGTCGAGCTTTGCTTGTTACTTGGCGCGTTAAAGCAACGTGTACGTTATGTTTTCTCAGCAACGAGAAGTAGGAAATTGCTTGATCTCTGGCCGCAAACCTCTTCGCATCTACATTTAGTCTGGAAATATATATGCTTTTTGGTGTTGTTTTTCTTCATACCCTGAACAGTGTATCATATATTAAAGTTGCCACGATGTTTGCAATACACAAAGGGAAACGTCGGAGTTCCTATAAAATTTATGGTACATCTAAATGATCAGCGGTATGAGCTGAGTCGATTTGGCCATGTCCATCTGTCTATCTGTATATGCGCGTACTAGTAACTCAGTTTTTGAGATATCAACCTGAAATTTTGCACACGTTCTACTCCTCACAAAAAACTGCTTATTCGGATCGGATATCGGAAACACCGATATCGGACCACTTTAGCATATAGTTGCCATACAAACTGAACAATCGGAATCAAACGCTTGTATGGAAAACTTTTTTATTTTACGTGGTATCTTCACGAAACTAAGTACAGATAATTTTTTGTAACAACGCTACAATCTCTGCAGAAATTGT